ACTTTCATTTGTGTTGGAAATGAGTCGTTTTGGAGCTATCACCCCCTCCATAGAACCTCACCTTGCCTAATTTCCTAGCAGTCTCCACCATATTAAACAGTAAGTACTTATTTTGATATCTGGTACCAATGAAAGCAACTTTTGGACCTTTTTGTGGACCTGAGAGTACGCTCAGACAGAAAAGGTCAGTTGTAAACAGACGACACACTATGTAGTGATGGGTTGTCAGACCACAGCTTACATCTTAGGAACAGTCCAGACCTGACCCGACATTAGGGGAGTCAAGTGTAAGGGTACCCCTCGCGGCTGCTCAAGGGGGTTACAAGTCAACTAGCACCCCTCCCTTGTCACATGGCCCCAACAAATATGTAAGGCACCCAGTCAGAAGAAGCCACCTGCAAACTCTCCCCAATATACACAATAACCTACAGCCCAAGTCAAGGGGCCACAACTCAACCAGCACCCCTCTCATGTCACACGGCCCCACCAACAATGTTAACAGGCACCCAGTCAGCAGAAGAGGCCACCTGTCTCCAATATATACAACAACTTTAGTCTCAGAAAAAGTCCAGACCTGACCCTACATTAGCGTGGTCAAATGTAAGGAGACCCCCCAATCAGCTCAACCTGACGGCTCGTCTCCCAATATATAGGACGTCGTAGCTCTCCCTCATGGGAGAGAGAGAGTCGACGGAGCAGAGTCGAGACAATCAGACAGAGAGAGCCGGAGGCGAGCCTCTTCCGGTCGGGGACGAGACTTCCCTCCCGACACCCCGGTGCCCAGCTAAGCAGTCTCCCAAAGAGACAACCCAGAATCACCTGCTAGGCCTCCCCCAGGTCATGTGAGTTTTGGTCAGAGCTATCCATGGGATGAGTTACTTATGTGGGAAGTGTATTCATTTCACGTTCGTGTCCGAGAATCAGTGTCTAGTAACGTAATATGATGTCCTAGTAACGTAAATATAATGTCCTATTAACTTCGATAGGTGTTATTAATATGTCCATGCCATTGTCGTAATTAATAAATAGTTGTAACGAAGCAGTGTTTGAGAATTGTCCGTAAGAACGTAATAGATGTGTGTTGACGTATAACATAAGATAAGTGTATTGACAGAGTAAATAACTAACACGGCCACGCTACCAAATTCTTCCTCTCTTTACATTTCTCTTACTATCAATATTCTACCTATATGTAATCTTCATCTTGTGAGTATGCCTCATTACACTTAAAACCCCTCATTACAACTATCTCGGTTAATATCCATTTGAGGTGAAAGAGGTATTAGAAATGATTGTTCCTAGTGATGAGATATACTGTAATTAATGGTAAACACAAAATTGCTCTAACCGAGTTGTGACAATAATACCAATTGTGCTGTATCTCTGTAATCCTTTCTTTCCAATGAAACTGTCATAGAAGAAAAGTGGGTTAATGTTACCTTAAGTCATATAATCTTCTAGTGACTGAAAAATATGTTTTTCCTGTGTTTTGAATGAATTTGACCTTCAAAACTGTCACAAAAAAAAAATGAAATAAACAATCCACATTTTTTCATATGGGATATCATCTCTTCCCGTGATATTGACTCCATTAATTTGCAGATTACACTAGTTAGACTGACTGGCCTGTAGTTTCCTGGTTCACTTTTACTTCCCTTCTTATAGATAGCTGTGATATATGCAATATGCCAGTCCTCAGGTATATTTCCTTCTTGAAAAGAGCTTTCAAACAAGATCCTCAGAGGCTGAAGTAGTTCCTCCATCATCTCTTTAATGACTCTTGGATGTAACCCATCTGGACCAGGAGACTTTTGTCTTTTCAATTTTGGAATCACCTTTGTTATTTTGCCCTCGGTTATCTCCAGGTGTTGAAGAGCTGGCACGTCTTTCTTGTTGGCTGTTGGTATCCCCCTATCTGGTTCCTTGATAAAAACTCGTGAGAATTGCTCAGAGTACATCTGCCTTTTCTTGATCATTCACAGTCTTCTGTACTTTTTCCTCATCCTTGTAAAGATCTGCAATTCTAGCTTTTGTCTGTGCATACTTCCAGAACACTTTTGGATTTGCCTTAACATTTTTCGCAATCTCTTGTTCTTTGCGTTTCAAGATGTTTCTAGTTTCCCATCTGACCTGGTTATTTAGTCTCCTGTATTCCGTTTCAGTTTCCAGATACATCTCCCTTGTACATGCTCTTACGTTGAACTTCGTTTTCATTATTTTCAGTCTCTCCCCCAGTCTGTTTTTTCTTCACTTTAGCCCAGAGCTTCCTGTTCATAGGTAATTTTTCATTTGTTCTTTTTCTGCTAACCCTCAGTCCTCTGATTATCTTCCTAGGGATACACTCATCAATGACTGCCTGGAATTTTCTTTTGAACTTATTCCACTTACTTTCAATATCTGGTTCCAATGATAAGTATTGGATCCAGTCCATCGTAAGCCTTTGCTTCATCAGTCGGTAATCTGCTTTTTCATACATGTACACTTGTTTTTTACCTTTGTCTTCCATCTCCTGTATGTCACAATGGAAATAAATTCAGGCATGGTGGCTCTTTCCCAGTGGACTCTCCAGCTTGATATCTCCTACTATAGATTTTTCGTTGCTGAACAACAGGTCAAGGGTATTGCCTGTGCTGTCTCCTCTTATCCTGGCGATTTCCTCTTTATGTTGAGTGAGAAAGCAGTCCCGTACTTTCTCAATGAACATGGTACCAACATCATTCAGTCCCATTACATTAATATAATTACTCCAATTTATTTGTGGAAGATTAAAATCACCGACAATTATTTTATAAAGCACATTTTTATCATTGACTTCCTGCATAAGTTGAGCAAATTAGAATTATTGCTTTCATCACTATTAGGGCTTCTGTAAATGGAGGTAAATAGTAAATTACCACTACTACATGGCACTTCTATACAGCAATTTTCACAAAACTTACTAACAAGTTCAACACTGTAAAATTTGGTTCCTTTCCTAATATATATTAACATACCTCTCCCTTCCTTATTAAGGAGATTTTGCTCTATAATGTCATATCCTTTTAGGTTGTATTCTGCTGTAATCCGTTCCTATCTGTAGTGCTTTGGCTTTACCTCCTGTAGGGCTATTACTTGCGGAGTATTTTTCATCTCCTTCAACTGTGCATTTAACTTTATTAACTTGTCTGAACTCAACACATCCACATGACTAAACATAAGAAATTTACCTACATTAACATTTTTTTTCTTGTTTTTTCCTATTTTTATTCAGTTTCCTTACACTATTTACACTACCGGTATGTACATGTTTCTCCTCTTTGGGCCTCACTACTTCTCTTAATCCTCTTGGACCCCTATTTTGACGACTCTTCGTCTCCACGGAGGACCCACCACTCTGTCTCCCCCCTTCCCGGAGTCCATTAAGTTTTTTGCCTCCTGCTATAAGACCGCTTCATGTTCTCTCTCCCTTTTAGTTAAGTCATTGGCTATTCTTATGTCTTGGAAATTCATGTTACCTTGCAGGTTCCTCATGATTCTAAATAGGTTGGCCTTTATATCTGCAGTAGATAGATTAGCATAGGTCTAGCTTTGCCCTGGATAAATTTACCCAGCCTAATCACTTTAACTAGTGTCTCCTGGCCACTAGTAATGCCACATTCTTTTATTAGGTTCAGTGCATAAGATTTCTCACTCTCTATCCTTTAGCTCGGTGTTACCGAGAAGTGTGGAGAATGTGCATTAACAGTCGAGGATAGTGACAAAGCAGTTAGCTGTGATGTTTGTGAAGTGTGGTTCCACATCGAATGTGAAAAATTACCAGAACAGGCATATAATTTCATGCAAGATGAGGAGGCAGAAGGAGTGTTGATGTGGTACTGCAGTCACTGCAAGAAGGGTTGTGCTAAACTGCACAAGTACATAAAAAGAATTGAACATCAACAGGTGGAACAAATGACCAAACAAAATGAATTGGAAGGCAAAGTAAATCAACTGAGAGAATTTACAGCACAAGAACACGATAAAAATAAGGAGATAGAAGACAGGCTGGGTATATTGGAGGCAAAGTCTGTTGAAATAAATGATGTGTTGGAAAGAAATGCTAAGAATGACAGGGGTTTTGAAAACAGACTTGGAACCTTGGAAGCTAGAACAGTGAATTTAGAAGGGAAAGTAGATTCTAGCAGGGCAACAGGTTCAGTATTGCCACTGAAGTGAAGCAGGAAGACAACACAGGAAACGCAGAGCCTGTTGGTGACCTTTGAGGAACTAAGCGAGAGAAAGAAGAGGGAAAACAACATAGTGGTATATGGTGCACCAGAATCTTGATCCCCAACAATGAGCGAAAGGATAAAGTAACAAATCTTATGCACTGAACCTAATAAGAGAATGGTGGACCCCCGTGGAAACCAGGGATTTGGGTGTTAGAAAAATAAAAAAGTGATTTGCGACAGTTTTGAAGGTAAAATTCATTCAAAACACAGAGGAAAGACATATTTTACAAATCACTAAAATATGCATCCTAACCTAACCTAGTAGGCCCCAGGTCACATATCTTTATTGTGCATTTGTGACGGAAATATCCTATAGGTAAATTATCTTAGAATTTTCTGTAGATTTCACATATGTTGCCAGATTTAACGTAAAGAATTATAGATTTATAGGACTAAAGTTAACATACATTTAGATTTGTCTACACTACAGGTACATGATGGGTAAATTAAAAAATAAATAAAAAGTTGTGGGACAATTAAAAGAAAAAACACCGAATCTAATGATAGACAGACTTTGACACTTGTGGTCCATATATAATCATAAAGTGAAAGTCGCGTCATTGATTCCTAGCTGACCGGCCAGTCAGCTGATCTACCAACACAGTAACCGGTTTTCCTTGAATTTCTCATCGTGATATCAAACAAACCACATACACTGTTAGTAAAGGCTCTGTTCGGTGAAATTGTCCATATGATGACAAAAAAAGGCTTTAACGAGGATTGATCTTAGCAATAAATAAATATACACACCCGAGGCAGAAGCCGAGTGAGCGTGAGCGCCATGGTTGTGTGTACTGCTGCCCTCCGTCCAGTGACCGAGCCATCAACCTAAAGTATCGTACCTGGCCACTTAAAATATCGTACTTTTATAATACTATCGTCTACTGTACTCGAGAATCATTACTAAAATTGTTCATGAAACCTATAAATAAGCATAAAATGGTATATGAATATTAAAAATTACCTTTAAAATGTGTTTGAAACCTATTGAATAGACTTAACATTGCACTATGTAATTAAAACAAAAAATAATATAATTTTCTTTAATTTTATCTTCTACGCCACTTAGCAGCTTACAATCTGTTCTGGCGGTCAGTCACTTCTCTTTTTTTTAACTTATCCTCTTCAACGCTGATCGTCTTGTACCCCACTGTTAACTGATTAACAGTGTACGGGCTCCAGGATATATTAAAATTGGATCAGAAAATATGAGGCCGATATCAGCAATAAACACTTTGACCTTAAGTGACCGTAACTCATCCAGCGATAGCGGAATTCATTGATGTTAAATTAAATTTGTGGTTTGTACTGTTAAAAATTATCTTGTAGATGTGATAATTATCGTACATAATTCAGTAGTATGCTCCTCTACTACAGCTGCCATCTACTGGCTATATTAACACATATCTGTGGAATATTTCTAAACTGATGTACAAAATATTATAGAATATTTATAATAATTGCGGATATGTACATTAATTCCTAATATTGGATATAGCGGGACATACAACTTTAAGATGCAACTGATTATCCATTCGTTGCTCCATCTATATTTTAAGTCATAATTCATAAAATAATAACTTTAAAGACTAATTGGTGGCGTAGAATATATTCTATCTTAAAATGAGTATATTTAAATATGTCAAATATTACAAGAATTCAACATAATTATTATCGATAGAACTTTAATCATGGTGGACAACCTCTCCAACAACCTTAAAATATCAGATATATTCTAATAAACATCTCAAGAACATATAGACTCTAATTGTACAATATAAAACACTTTGATTATTAATATACTAGTGAAACAATATGAATTACCAAAAAAAAGTCAAAATAAGAAGAAATTTTAGAATATTCTGGAAGGAGTGGGGAGGGGTAGTGGCCGGCCTGGTTCACCTCAGGGCGCCACAAGAGCCTCTCACACGACCCACCACAACAAACCTCCTCACAAAAATGGCTTTACATATTCCCAAAGCTCCTGGATTCTCCTCCATGTTAAAAGATGGTGCTCGGGTAAGTCAAGAGATGATTATAAATACTCAAATGACTTGGTTAGTTACGTATATGTTAAGAATTGTTGTAGACTCCACGAAGAAGCGGCCGCGTGTGCCACTGCTTCTGACACATGTATTTGTTAACTTATTTTCGGCCACAATTATGAAGAAATATGTCGTGAACACTGACTATTATCATACTTTTATCAGTAATTTAATGTTAACTGAGGTATTTATGTATTAAATTTGAATATATGACATAGGAAGAAAATCAATGAATGAGTCACCCTGTCAAACAGTAAATGAATAAATATTTAATCAGTAAAATCATCATATAAGTACAGTACCGGTAGTTCGCATTGGTTCAGCACGTACTAAGGTAATGTAGACATATAAACAATGTACTGAACCTATTAAAGGTGCATACTGCAGTGCAGGTGTAGCCTGTGTTGTTCCGGCCACAGTTCTGTACTAAACATTGTTACATTGTACTTGAAACAGAATGTGTACCAGTCGGTTTGTACCAGGATTCAGATGTTGGTTTAATTGATGTACGTATTTAATTTTAGATGATAAACATGGGTAAATATTAACACCGTTTTGTGGTGGGTTGGGCCATCACTATGTGCACAGTGAAGGACTTGGATATATGGTAAATTTTTACTTGAGGACTTGATTCCCAAGGGGTTGACCAATATGTTTTTCCAGTGTATTTTGGTGTGTATTTTAACGAATCTGACATCCATTTTTTACGGAAATTGCGAGTCCCCCCCCCCCAACAATAATGCCTACCAGACATAAAGAAGCGGAAGTTATACAGTACTGTACTGCGCAAATTGTATTCCCTGTGTAATCTTTCATGGTAAGAAAGCTTTAAGCTTCTAAAGTAAAAATTCCTCAAGTTGGTGATAGAGGTACACAACGGTTATCAAGCACAGTATTACCCTAAATCAATGTAAACCTTATATGATATTTTTATTGGTCAATTTATAGTTTTGCACCGGTCTTTCTTTCGCTGTTAATAATATGTATTTCGTACTGTTTAGACAATTTTAAGACATTTTTCTTCTATGAGATTTCCACCGGAAATTAAGGATAACTGAGATATTAATTTTTCAATATTATTACATAAGCTTAGTCACAGGTTTTGCCTTGTCTTGTTTACGTTTGGCGGAGTAGGTAGTATTGCACCGGTATTTATTTTGATATTAATTATAGGTTTTTCCTATGGTATTTTATGAGTTTTGAACGAATTTGATATTCATATCCGCCGGAAATCACTGGATTTTTTCTTGAATAAATCACAAATAAAATACCAACCAACAAAACAAAACCTAACCTAACCATACCATCCCCTTTGTTCATGCCCCTACATCTTACCTTAATCTGAAAAAGAATCGGGTTCATCTGGGTCATCATTGCACATGCGCTGTTGAAGCTTAACCCTTTCACAGCGGGAGGTTACCCTAAGCTGAATAAAATCTTTTGGCGGTAGCCAGAATAAAATGGCAAGTGCGTGACACGCTGTGGAAGGGTTAAGAAGTGAAGACGGAGGTAAGGAGCGATGCGTGAGGGGTGTTAGACTCCGCCAAACGTAAACAAGACAAGGCGAAACTTGTGACAAACCTTATGTAATAATATTGAAAAATTAATATTACGGTTATCCTTAATTTCCGGTGGAAATCTCATAGAAGAAAAATGTCTTAAAATTGTCTAAACAGTACGAAATACATATTAACAGTGAAAGAAAGACTGGTGCAAAACTATAAATTCACCTTTTTATTGATTAATATCTTCAGTATCTACCTACAGAGTATCCGGTATTACAGTACTGTTATAAACTACTGAAACATTTAGATCTCACTATTCTGAGCATTTTGAACCCCATATATACCTGGCGGAAATGGATAATAGCGACACAATTGAATTTAATTGATTTTAAGTAGTTTTCAGTCTTCGTCTGTGAGGTGATGTTATCGGCGCTTCACACAGGCACAATGTTGACTGACGCCATCCAGTCGTGACCAATGAGGTATTGATATCACAGCGTGAATTTTTTTTGACCAATCACATTTGATTTTTTCAAAGGAAGCAGCCTGGGTACTGTACGATCTTAATTTAATTGACCAGTTTCACAATGGCCGTGGTGAAGGTTGGTTGTCGTTTGTACTCCTACGATTATTTTAAGTTTATTACCGAGTTTTACAAGAAAGACGATTCTTCTATCCAATTCTTACGTATCCCTGGTCCTTCTACTCCTAACTAAGGTATTATACTTTCGGACATGGTGCGCCCCAAAGTTTTTAACTACTAAGAACTTAAGAATGGAGGAAACTGCAGCGGGCCTATTGGCCCATACTGGGCAGTCCCATTTACACCCAACCCCTATTGCTCATATAACCACCCAACCTATGTTTGAAGCTATCCAGCATATTCGAGTTAATGATGATATTTGGTAACTTGTTCCACTCATCCACTAGTCTATTTCCAAATCAATGTTTACCTATTTCGCGCCTAAATCTAAATTTGTCTAATTTAAAACCATTGTTACGAGTTCGCTCCTGGTTGGATAGTTTGAGTACCTTTGTAGTGTCCCCTTTGTTTAGCCCTGACTTCCATTTATACACCTCTAAAAGAAACTAAGAACATGAGAAAATAAGAAGTCTGCAATAGGCCGGTTGGCCTGTGCATGGCAGCTCCTGTCGAGAGTTACTACCACTCTATCATCCATGAACCTATCTAGCCTCCTTTTAAAACTTTCGAGCATTCCAGCACTTACTACAGTAGAAGTCCAAAAATCCGGACTGCTTGGGGATTGGGTCGGTCCGGATTTTCGGATTTTCCAGATTCTCAGGCAGTACTTTTAAAATTCAAATTTAAGGAGGAATAAAGAAGAGATGAACAGGTACATTTTGATAGTTTATTCATTAGCAATTATAGCATGCTTCATTTATCAAAACGAGCAGTTTTAATGAAAAAGCTGTGAATTCTGGAATTTTATTCTTTGCCTTTTTGATATCATAAATTGTAGACTTTCCAATGTTGTATTTTCCATTAGGACAGTATTGCTCACACCACGTACTAGTTTCTTAATTATTTCAAGTTTGTCACTCAATTTCAACGTGTTCTTCTTTCTCTTCACACAACGAAGTTTACGGTATCTACTTTAGGAGCCATTATTATGGGCTTGTACAGTAATCTGTAAATGGAAAGAGTAGGACTCAAAATATTGTTATATTACAATGGTATTCTATTCATACTGTGCTTGATATAATGCATTCACGGAAATGTAATATTTTTGCTAAAATGACGTACGTATTACAGCGGAAAGTGGGATCAAATCGTGACGAAAACAATGACTTTCGCTTTCTTTCGTTCAAAAGATGTTACCGTAATTGCTTTTCGAATGGTTTAGTTAAAAAACTGTTGTACTGTATTACAATAATATTCTATCCTAAATGACTTGAATAAATACTATGATACTATATTTCTGAATATTTTCATTAAAATCCATCAAAATCATTTTCTTTGTCATCGTCTGCAGCACCAAACTGCTTCTCCCAGTCTCTCCTTGAACAGGGCTAGAGGGTACGTGTTTTTCGAATCGTTTTCAGTTAAAAAACTATTACGTCACACGTATATTTTACCTAAACTGCGCCTGAATGAATATATTCTTGGAAATAAATAGTAGTTTTGCTGAAACGTGATGTATTTCAATGTAAACTAGGATAAAATAAATGACGAAAACAAAAGACTTTACCTAAGCTTCCGATGTTCTTGAGATGTTACTCGTTTTTTTAATAGTTTTTGGTTAAAATTCTGTTATATTACAATTATATTCTATTCATACTGTGCTTGATATAATACATTCACGGAAATGTAATATTTTTGCTGAAATTACGTATGTATTAAAGTGGAAAGTGGGATAAAATCGTAACGAAAACAATGACTTTCGCTTTCTTTCGTTCAAAAGATGTTACAGTAATCGCTTTTCGAATGGTTTAGTTAAAAAACTGTTGTATTACAATAATATTCCCTCCTAATTGACTTGAATAAATACTTGAATGGAAATATACAATTTTTTTGTTGAAACTACCCGCCTTTCAGTGTAAAGTGTCGTAATAATAAATGGTAAACAATTTGCCTTCGGCACTCGTGTTTCAGTTTATAGGACGTAGAGCGTTTTTACTGAAGGTTTTGTTGTTCCCTTACCCTCAAAAACGTGGGTCGAACTATAAACGAGGAATATCATAAATTAACGATTTCTTGGTCAAAAAATCAGGATCGACCGATAAACGAGGTGGGGTTATAGATGAGTATATACGGTATGTTGTCACAGTTTGATTGCTCGTTTTAAAGTGGCGACCACGTGGTCGCTTGTTGTCGCTGTGCAGCTGTGGCACTCACGCATGCGCACATACACACAAAAGCCCGCTAAAAAAAAAAAAAAAAAAAAATAATAATAATTAGTTTGCCAAAAGTCCGGATTCTCGGGTGGTCCGGATTTCTGGCATCCGGATTTTTGGACTTTTACTGTACAAAGTTGCTAAGCTTGTTCCACTCGTCCACCACCCTATTTGTGAACCAGTTCCTTCCTATCTCCCTCCTAAACCTATACTTATCCAACTTAAATCCGTTGCTACGAGTCCAATCCTGCTCGGATATTATAAGAACTTTATCTGCCTCCTTTATTGATTCCTTTCACCCACTTAAATACTTCTATCATATCTCCCTGCACTCTTCGTCTTTCCTGCATTGAATCCTCAAACTGCCGATCAAAATATAATTGATAAAGGGACACAGCTTCATGCCATGGTTCTTGCTGACACCCACTTGTTAGGAAGCAGAAATGGACACTGGTTTGATAAACTACGCAGGTAAGAGGAAGAAAGGTATTGTTGTTTGACCCAAATTATTTTACAGCATTTGAGGGACATGTTTGATCAATGACTTGATTTAACCCTTTTCATGTGAAAAGTGAGTGGAAAGTTCGGCATTCACACAGACGTTATTGTAAAA